ACAACAATGTTTTAACAAATCGTATTAAATAAACTGATGACAGAACTGTAAACAGAATAGCTGAAACTTTAACAAAATAAAGAGTAACTCAGTTACCTCTAATCATTACCCCATGTTTGTATAATGGAGTTAACTCCGTGTGTTGCTGCTAGCATACATAACACCTGACGTGGAAATGTTACTCGTGGATGGGGGGGGGCTACAGGGCTACTAGAAAGACAGTCGAGCCCGGTGCATTCCTCCGTCTGAATGTGGTGCACTTTTGATAAATGTTTAGATAAATTGCTCGTGTTAACGCCCTCACATGCTGAACTCTCTTGGCAAGGAGCATTGTCCACCTCAAGACGGGTAACATATAACCACACCTTGGAGCGCTTCTCTCCGCCATCCCCTCCGTGTGTTGCTGCTTGTAGCAGCTGTGTGTGTGTAAACTGCCCCGCCCCCTCGCGCACAGACGGGGGAGAGAGAGATCTCGTCTCGATTGGAAAGATCAAAAATACACCGACCATAGACGCATTTGTTTGTCTTTTTGCATGTTAGAAACGAGTTGGCGACACTAAGACTGCGAGATAATGTTTGTGTAGCAATAATACAGACCTTTCTCTTTCTCAACTCGCTACTCGGAGGGAAGTCGCTGTCATATGCCTTGTGAACACTCCGATAATGCCTCTCCACGTTACCTTTCTTTGGCAGAGCGACGCTTGCTTTACAAATAAGGCAAATAACCTTTGAATGTGACATCACAACAAAAATATTCTTCCTCCCATTCTGGGTGGAAGTGGTTTGTCTTTAGCTTCTTGCTCGGTCCCGCACTCATTTTGTTGTTTGTCTCTTTAACTTAATTTGAGTTTTCCCGGCACTTGACTGATTTTGTATCGCTTTGCATTCTGGGTTAACAGACTGAAAAGCGATAGGTCGCTTTTTCTGTCAATCAAGTAAACTCCTGAATTAAGTGGCAGGGAGGCCAAGGGAGGAGGGATCAAAACCTGTTTTGTCTATTTTAACGGAACTGGATTTTTTTTTATGAATGACTCGCGATCTACCAGCATTGCCCTTGCGGTCGACCGGTCGCCCGCGGTCGACGTACTGGGCACCTCTGCTTTAGGGAGAACACTTCTTGTTTGTGATTGGACAGAGCCAGCCAGAGAAGCACTGCTGTGATTGGTTGTTTTTGCTGCCAGTCAAGAAATGACGCTTCGTGATTGGTCAACACCCGACAGCGAAATATGTCCCAAGTCAACATGGTCCCAACACATCAGCCGTTAGCACACACTCAGAGCTCACAGCTCCTCATATCTGTTCAGAAACTGGACACAAGTTAAACATGTACAAACCACAGACTGCCTGTGTCATGGCGAATACAGTCGCTGCTTTATTTATGTCTGTATGACGTTGTTGTGAGTGTGGACGGAGCAGCTACAGGTTAGTTTAGCCTGATGGATCCGATTCCATTCAGAAAAGACGCATTTTAAAAGCTTTTCGCCTGCTGTCTTATCTGCAGACTTGTCAAAGCGTTAATGTATGGTGTTTACTAACCGTTATCAGTATGTAGTTACTTCGGCATCACTTTGAAACGTGTATTACAATTAAATCACGGTCAAATATGTTCATTTTGTTGTAGTTGGTATCTCCCATAGGATTTACATGGAGATACGTCCCGCCCCCTCTCAGCGCCTCTTGTTTGAATGACAGGAGCAAACACAGCTGACAGCCGCGGTGAAACTCGAGCGATTAGAGCGATGCGAATATTGGGTGGTCTACCATAGTATTTACATGGAGATAAGCCCCTTAAAAACCATGAATTAATAAAGCATTAATTATGTGTTTACTCCTGTCATTCAAACAAGACGCTGGAGAGGGGGCGGGCCGTATCTCCATGTAAATCCTATCGGAATCGGATCGATCAGGCTAAACTAACCTGTAGCTGCTCCGTCCACACTCACAACAACGTCATACAGACATAAATAAAGCAGCGACTGTATTCACCATGACATAGACAGTCTGTGTTTTTTACATGTTGAACTTTTGTCCAGTTTCTGAACAGATATGAGGAGCTGTGAGCTCTGAGTGTGTGCTAACAGCTAACGGCTGATGTGTTGGGCCAATCACGAAGCGTAATTTCTTGACTGGCAGCAAAAACAACCAATCACAGCAGTGCTTCTATGGCTGGCTCTGTCCAATCACAAACAAGAAGTGTTCTCCCTAAGGAATACCCTTTCCGTCCAATGTGAAATGCTGTGGTGTTTTCTGAAATGCTGTGGTGTTTTCTGAAATGCTGTTGTGTTTTGTGAAATGCTGTGGTGTTTTCTGAAATGCTGTGGCGTTTTGTGAAATGCTGTGGTGTTTTCTGAAATGCTGTTGTGTTTTGTGAAATGCTGTGGTGTTTTGTGAAATGCTGTGGTGTTTTGTGAAATGCTGTGGTGTTTTCTGAAATGCTGTTGTGTTTTGTGAAATGCTGTGGTGTTTTGTGAAATGCTGTGGTGTCTTGCACTTCAGGGCCACCGTAGTAATGGCAGCTAATAATTAAGACAAATACTTAAAGATGTACAATTATTTTTGTTTATTTTGAGGTTGCAGTATTCATGTTAATATGTTTAAGAATGACTTGAGTCCTTTTTGTTAATGTAGAGTTGTTAATAACCAGATATATTTGACTCATTTAGAGAGAAGTGACCTGATTGGCCAGGTCAAACTTGGAAGGCGGGCACTTATGCTATTAATGTTTGTTGGAAGAAGGGAAATGCTTTTTTCTTTTTGCACCAGTACTGCTGTGAGACGGCAGAAGAACGGTTTGTTCCTCTGATTTATGTTTTGTTTGAAGGCAGAAAATAAAACAGCCTATTTTTCATGAGAACCTCCCTGTTTAACCAAACTACACTTCCCTGGCCTCGTCTTACTGCTCTGAGAAAAGAGTCAGCAATCAGTTGCCACACTTTCAGGTAATTCACCCCAATTTGACCCAAACCTTGAGAGTCTTTTAGTCTGTTGAAAGCATTTGATTGATATTTGTCTCAAGACAAGCATACAATTCAACATAAAAAAGTATGTTTCCATACCTATGTCTAAAAAGTGAATATCTATTTTGGTTTAAAGTGTTCTCCATATAAGTGAAGAAGACCAGCGAAACACATTATTCACTGCCCAAATTAGCACACAGTTTACTGTTGTTTTCTGGGTTTTTCTGGTTTTTCTCAAATCAAAGTCAGTCAAATTCAAAGTCAACTTTATTTTCAATCTTCCAGTTTGTGTGTACAGATGTACAAATACTTTCGATTTCGTTTCCCACAATCCCGAATATAAATAAAGTAGTTTAAAGATAATCTAACAAACCTGTTGACATGTTTGCAACCATAACATGACTGACTGCTTGTTTCTTATATCCAATACAAAAAACGCTATCCGGAACTGAGAAAGTAAGACTCAATTTCAAATATCCCTTAGGTCTTAGCCCGGAGTGTGTGCTACATGTGATGTGCTGTCCGTGGTGCTGAAATCTGACACACACTGTTGCTCTAACTTCCTCCACCATGAGCTCCGACTCTCTCCCCGCCTCATTAGTTTGCTCCCATACTGCTATCTCACCCTGTCCAATGATTAATATACATCTGTCCGTGCAGCCTGAGATATGCGTATCATAAAACAAGCGGACAGGAGTGCCATTTATTTCCTGTTAGCTGTGAGGCAGCTCTCCTCCATTTAACCCAGTTACACTCAGTCCTATAGATTTGCATTGGATTTGTATGCAGAGGGTGGAAATAAGCACTAGATCAAAGTTAAGCAGGAGATTCATCTGGTGGGTTCTCCTTGTGGGAATGAGCTGATGCTCTTGATTAGTTTTCCCAGCAGGATATGTTGGCCTTTCACGTAGACTTTGAAGTGACCGAAACAACATTTGAAGGTCTCAATTCTAATTATATGATCAGCATATATATTGATGCTGCCTTTTCTGAAATTGAACACAACTTGTTTTAAGGTGGCTGCTCTTCAGTTATATTCCATTGCGAATTCACCAACAATAAGGGTAAAGGGTTGCATCATCCAGATATGCAAAGGGAAAAGGCATTCAGCCCACTGAGTCATGTAAGCACATGCAGTATCAATGTAACTGTGGAAATGATATGTTCAAGGCCATCGTTTTGATTCCTGCAATAAAGTCATCTTAAGTCAGCTCATGCATTACAATTGAAATCTGCAACTCTGAATAGATGCATTGATTGGCAGAGAATATTTGTGATTATCTTCTTATTGTTTTTTCCATTCTGAAGCAAAAGTGCTAAGACCTTTTCAAATCTCAGTTCTCATATTTTATTCAAGATTGAAGATATCCTAAGCAACCCAGTTAACTCATTGTGAACAACTAGGAATTGATTGGTTGAAGAAAAGAAAAAAATATACCTTCACTCGATTCTTCTTTTAAATCCAACCTGCTGAAAATTAAGATCTGGTTTAATTGTTTTACTTGCTGATTTCATCATCTTTATCATCCCAACCTTAAAAAACAAACAATCTTTGAGTCACATTAAAGGTATATTGTTAACAGACATATAATATGTGCTACTGTGCTTTAGTGTTAATATAAATGCATTATACTACACATGCGTTTAACTCTAAATGGGATAGGAATGTTAAAAACCAGTTTGGTGGGGGAAATGCCAAGACAATGATGAAATAAAAGCAGAATCACCTGCTGAAAATGTGTAATAAAGGAATGTGTACATGTCCTTTATGTACTTTATTAAGTCTACCAACTGATAGTGTGTTGTGAATCAACAATTATGTTGCATGTTTTCATGCCTTAATGCTGCTCAAGAATCCAATTATCCATAAACCAGAATATAGGTTTAATTCCAGCTCGATGCTTTCTTATCACTAAGTGGTCGATGCTTTCTTATCACTAAGTGGTCGATGCTTTATTATCACTAAGTGGTTGCCACTCGGCTATTTCCGTTTCTGTTCGTCTTCTCATTAAAATTCCTCACTTGTGGGTGTGATGCTGAAAGGATCTCCGGCGCGCCGAGCGGAGACGCGCAGTGTCCCTGTGCGTTCAGAGGAGGTATCAGCTACGGGAAGAAGAGACAGCAGACCTAAATTGCAGGCGACCATTCCTTCACTGCTGGTGTCTTTTCTCAGCCACCTGCAGAAATAAAAAAGAAGTCGGTAATTTGCTGCACATTTGAAGTGTTTCTCCCCAGGGCTAAAGCTCTCCAATGTGTGTCGGATCTAACACCTCCGGAGAAATCGAGGAATATCAGACTCCCGTGGTGGATGTGGACATCTAAACTGTGGACATGGAAAAGATAGTGAATTTATCCCTTTCTGTTCTGCTGGTTTTATGGGGATGTGCGCTTGGAGGCTCGCCCAGTGTTCAAATCGGTAGGTATCCATTAGTTTAAACGTAAAAACCACTTGGATTGTGTGCATAAAATGCTGGGAAAATGTGCCTTGGAGATGTCTCTTACCAGAGATCTTTGTGCAAATGTGGCTGATATTTGCATTTCGGTTACAGGGGGACTCTTTCCAAGGGGCGCGGATCAAGAGTACAGCGCATTTCGGATAGGAATGGTTCAGTTTGGCACCTCGGAATTCAGATTGACGCCCCACATTGACAATCTGGAAGTGGCTAATAGTTTTGCTGTGACCAACTGCTGTAAGTAGAAATATATTTCTCCTCTTTCAAAAAAAGTGCCCATGTCGTACATACATTTGTTTGTATTCCATGGTACGTAATAATGAGATGAGCTTGGATAAATGTGAACAATTGGTTGCTCTTTCGATATTCTGCCGTAAAACATGTCGATACTTAGTAGCCTATTAGGGGGTGGACGAACATCGTGTAGGCAGGGAAAAGTTGGTTTCCACAGGAACAGTCAGTCACATCCATCCCATTTGAATTCCTTCAGATTCTGCGCTGCAAAAATATCAATCCTCCTCATTTATTTCACCCAACAGCCTTTTAGACCAAATACCTTTGAGTGAGTGAAGAAACGACTGCGAGTGTTCTTGATTTCAATCAACATCAACCTGTTTGTATCTAAGGAAAGAGATCAGACGTGTTTTTCTCCATGAAAACAGAAAATCAGCACCTGAAATAAATACATTTAATCTATTTCGACTTGCTGATGTGGAATTTTTTTTTCTATTGTTGCCTCCTATAAGTAAGCCCCCACACAGATTTGCATTAGGATGCGATGAATTAACCCAACTGAGCCGAGGCTAAATAACGATTGGCAGATCTCTGAAAAACAGGATATAACAAACCAAGCCTAATCACGACTCTTAATAAAACAATCTCAAATCCAACTCCACTACTCCGTATACGCCGTTTTTCTATCAAAGTGCGGAGAGTTTTCAGTCAAAATCAGTTTGAATCATGCCTTTCTTTCATCAAAGAATCAAAATGCTCGCTGTTTTCTTTGAACTCGCGGATACAAAAGGCTGTAAATGGGTTCTGTTGTCGCTTTTTTTAATAGCCATAGCTCATACATTTCATTAGGCAGGCGGTTGCCAAGCGACTAGTCCTCTCAACAGTCCCTTAAACATAAATCAAACGCTTCTGATTGGTGCGCGCATTGGTCCAATCGATTTCATTACCATATAAAAGCTTCCTGCTTGGAGAGCCTCATTGCATCGAGAGACAAGTCGATGTTCAAGAAACAAATCATTTCAACCAGATTGAAGACGTGAACAATTTAAATGGAGGAGACTTTATAACTTGTTGGGGGATTTGGGGAAATAGTTGTCTTGTAAATGTACTGTTAACAGGAAGCTACAACAATGTGTTTCCAACATTTATCTAAAAGCATTTTTTTCTCTTGAAAAACTGACTTTTTATAAGATGTAACTCACATATTGAAAGGTTTATATAACACATGAATAGACTTGTAGTTTTCCCAAATGTGTTTCCTTCTATTACAAGTGTGGTGTTACATAAACACCATTCTGAATCAGTAACAGTTCCATATGAACATTTAACATGCTGATCCTATTCAATGATTTTCAAAGTTAGGGTAATCCTACATTTAGACCAATTTAGACCACTTGGGGTTTTAAGTCAGTTTTTAAAATGACCGTGGCATGTCATTCATTCGCACAATATGAATTCTCTGCACATGCTTGAAAAAGATCATGGAGTGAACATGACGCTACATTATTTTTTAAAGTTAATAAGCAAATTACAGCATATGTTCAGAAACATATAAACTTTTGTTTTTCTCCTATTCTCAAATAATGGCACAAATGATGATGTTTTACCATCCCAGTGAATTTGTTAAGGTAGTATTTTGGTATTGAGAATATTTACTCTGCACCCTGCACAACTGAAGCTCCTGCGTGATGTGTTTTGCTAATCAGCCAACAATTGTGTTTCATACTGGTGTGGATCACGTTCACTGCAACCAAAAAAAGCTTCATACAGTGACCCTGAGGAGAAATGAGGGGTTAAGGAAAAATAAACAAAGGAATCGCTGGGATTTGTGATCTAAAACTGTGTGAATGGCTAATAAATACCGAAAGGCTGAGACTGTGTGCATACTTTTAGCCGTGGTTGCATGAACTCCTACCTCCTAAGATCTACTTAAGGGTAGCTGGTGTGGGGGGGGGGGGGGGGGCTGTGATTTATAAACCGGTAGATGGCAGTCTGCCTCACAATCCACCTCCATGTTTAATTACAGAGCATTACCACTACCACTTTTCCTTTTGTCAAAAAGTACTCTGCGATGCACCCCACAGTGGAGAATAAAAGGATACATAATGAAGCTGGCATGGCATATTAAAAGCTAAAAGATCGTAACTGCAGCTTCATACAAAGCTTTCTGTTCGGCTCCAGGACTCACACACTCCCTCACAAAAGAGCTACTGTGGCAGGTGTGATATTTCATTATGGATCTAACAAAAGCACGTGTCTTTGGTGAGTCAGGGACATTTGAAACACAATTAAATTGTCCTGAAGTGGACACAACTGAGTAGTACATTTGCACTCATTGCTTCCTGCGACATGTAGCGAAAGACCTGACCCTTAATATTGTATAGTCCCGACCAAACTTTCAAATCAAATCAAGTTTTATTTATATAGCACATTTATAAACGATTTTTGGTCGAGCCAAAGTGCTGTCCATATAATAAAAATAGCCTACAGTAGAGACACTTTACAGCTAATACAACAGCACAGCAGTTTGTTCAGAATATCAGTCTGAGAAAAAAAAAACTTTAGTTGTCTGATGAAGAATTGTTGTCTGCTATCGTCTTGCCAGTCCAATATAATATGGTAAATACATAATTTAAGATTTTTTAATTAGTGTCGGAACATATGGCCCTGCAGCCTTCAGACATATCACACTCTGGTTGTTCTTGGCCTGCAGCAGCACACTTCATCAGGGTAGTGTCAGAGACAGTGGGAGGGAGGATGATGCATCCCTCCATCAATAACAGTTCATCTGGACAGGCCTGCATCTGCTGCCAAGATCAGGGGAGTCATTGGGACTGCGTGTGTGTGCATGTGTGTTTGTGTGTGTGTGTGTGTGTGTGTGTGTGTGTGTGTGTGTGTGTGTGTGTGTGTGTGTGTGTGTTTGTGCAGTTTTATTGCTGTGTGCTTTCCACCAAGAGCAATGAAATAAAAAGATCTTGTTCGAACTTCCCAGAATAGAATCACCTCTGAGACTCAATGGGGATAAGTGACTAATGCACCCTCAAAGACTACACTGCAGTAAAAGAAAACTGAATATTTGTGTTATGGATGTTGAATTTATTGGGCCATGTTACTGTTTGGTGTTGCATTTTCCAACTTTGAAATAGAGTATGCTTTGGGGTTTATCAACCCTAAGAGATAGTGTATCAATGCTAGGAACATCAGAAGCAATCTATCAATAGGGACTTCCTATCCTAGGGTTGCTGGATTTTGATCTGATTTTGATCAAGAAATGATGTTCTCTTTAGAGTTATGTTTCCCACTGATAAATGCACCAATGTCCATGTCAAACAAGCATGTACTTTTAATCTGCCTTGCTGCCTTTTAACAAAGCACGATACCATTTTGTTTGGCATAGCTGGAATAAATGAAATAAAAGATGGTAGGGGCTCTCACTAAAGACTACCTTTTGCATGAATGTCCAATTATCAATCTCTAGAATCTGCACAGCCACAGCTTGCACTCTGATCCACCGGCTGTGCAAAACGACACATTTTTTGACAACGTTTGTGTTACTTGAATGAATGATGGACCCATCACAGAATCACACTTTTTGCTAATTCGACCAACCACATTAAAAGGCAAACTGGGTAACATCGTACAATTCTTTACAACAAAATGGGTATCATTGATTATTAAGTGGAATCATAAGCTTTGTCTACAGCAGGGGTGTCAAACTCAAGGCCCGGGGGCCAAATCCGGCCCGCGACTTCATGTTATGTGGCCCCGCAAGAGCTTCCAAGGAATATAATAAGTTTATTATACGGTTACATGCCGATTTACAGAAGCACGTTGCCCATAAACTACATGTCCCACAATGCATCTAGTTTTGTGACATGTGCACTGAAGAGACTTGCCATTATTTGCCCTAGACTTCTGCTTTCAGACGTAGTTAATTATTAATTCAGAGGCAATAATGTCATATAATACATTATTTTATATATATTATATATTTATATTTGTATATTTATATAGTCTTAAAAGTTACAACCGGCCCTTTGAGTGCAACCATAATGCTAATGTGGCCCGCGATGAAATTGAGTTTGACACCCCTGGTCTACAGTCATATTTACATTTTCGTTTAAGGCAGTGAACACCATTCATATTATAATGTGCATCTGCCTGTTTGAACTGCGTTTGATGAGACTTAATTGTGCTAGTATGCTCCCATGCTTTTTGTTTGACTCCCACCTATTTTCAAAGCAAACCTCTTTTCCTCCTCTGAGAGCAGAGACCAGTATGAGGTCTCTGACAGCTGGCTGCCGATTTAACACTTCAAAGTTCTAGTTTGTCATGGTTGAATCACGTCATACTGTAATTTCATGCATTTACATGCACAGAGCATCTCAGATATGCATGCATTCACGGACCTTGCTGAATGATCAAAAGCTTAAAACGACCATATATGCACAGCAGAGCATTGGTTATAGCCAATTTATTGTTCACACTGAATTAAGTGCATTCTCCTCCATTTCAGAGGGCGCTTTGAAATATTAAATAGGCCTGGGAGCTGGATGGTCAGAAAATGAGGCTAAAGAACCCTCTGCGGATCTGTTTCTGCCCTGAATACAGCCCTCAATCGAGCCCTTATCACTCTGTCCTCAAGAAACACAAGACTGAGATAGCATCAGTTACAACATGATTCAAAGGCGGGAAGTCGCCTCCTGTCTCATATCCAATGGCTTACTTTGCTCCGAGGAAGGTGGCTCAAAAGCGTTTTTCGCTCTGAGCTATAGGCAGGAAGAAAACCTGTTTGTCCTCCAGCGACAGTGACTTTCTCAAAGTACACTAGACAGATAAGCTACGTGTTTAAGCCAGAATAGAAACTTTACATTGTGAGTTAATTAGTAGATGAACAGAAACAAAGCTTCACAGTATCTTGATTTCCTTCTCAACCCAGCGTTGTGAAAGACACCAGGGTTTGATAGATAACATTAAAAAGGCAGAAATGCACCTAACTCACC